GGCGTGCCGGCCATCCACGGTCGGATCACCAGTGCCACCCATTCCGACCTGCTTGCTAGGATATCTGGCCGGCTAGAAGGATGGAAAGCGAAAACCCTTTCGCTTGCGGGAAGAGTTGTTCTTGCGCGCTCGGTCCTGAATGCTATACCAGCTTATACCATGCAGACGACCTTTCTTCCGAAGGGAGTTTGCCTGGAGATTGAAAAGCGCACGCGCAAGTTTGTGTGGGGATCTAGTGATGCGGATAGGAAAATGAACTTGGTAAATTGGAACCTGGTTACGACGGCAACAGAAGCGGGTGGGCTTGGAATCAAGCGTATGTGCGAGCTCAACCTGGCGTATATGGCGAAATTAGGATGGAGGCTCTTGACCGAAACTGACAGTCTCTAGGTACAAACAATTAACGCGAAGTACAGGAAGTCGGAGGACATACACAACCTGAGACAGGGACGACGAAAGGTTTCGAATGCTTGGCGCGGAATTTCAGCCGCTTGGCCGGCCATGTATCAGGGAGTATCTCGCGTTGCCAGAAGTGGTACTAATATCCGCTTCTGGATGGATAAGTGGATATTTACGGAACCTCTTTACGATCGTCTTTTGGCGCCTATCCCTCTCCCGGAACTCTACGGCATGGTGCGTGACTATTGGGATGAAACAAGAGGATGGAAATGGGAATTGTTGGAACACGCATTACCACAAGAAGAAATACGAAATCTTGCAGGCAAAGTCCTAATGACTGCTGAGATTCATGATGAACTGGGATGGAGCATGGAGATTAACGGGAAGTTTACCATTCGATCCATGTATCAAGCATTGGTGGGCGATCACCGAAATACTTTGGATGACGTGTGGAGAAGAATCTGGAAGATAAAAGTCCCGGCAAGAGTTAACATGTTCCTTTGGCTTCTGCGCCACAAGAAGATTTTAACGAACGCCGAAAGAGCCAGGAGGAAACTTACGGCTGATCCATTTTGTTTTCTTTGTGCAGGTCGGACTGAGGATCTCCAACACTTGTTCCGCGAATGTCCAGCAACAAAAGGAATCTGGGAAGCAAGCCTCCCCAGGCAAGTGAACGCACAGCTGAATAGCCTTGCATGGGAGCAGTGGCTCGAGATGAATCTAGGAGGCAATGTGAGACATGGCTTCGATGAGAATTGGCAAGCCCGTTTTGGGGCAAGATTATGGTGGATCTGGCGATGGAGAAACGAAGGGATTTTTAACCAAAAAGTCCAAACGCTCGAGGAAAAGCTAGGCTGGCTCGCTAAATATGACGTGGAGATCAGGGAGGCCTTTAACAATCGACTACATCCGGGTACAGGGGCTATGCAGGCAACTATTGAGCAGGTGGGCTGGACGAAACCACCAAGAGGTTGGCACAAGCTGAACGTGGATGGAAGCTGCAAGGGAGATGGATTGGCCGGGTGTGGCGGTCTGATCCGGGATGAAACTGGAGATTACTGTGCAGGTTTTTTCTCCAGCGTTGGTCGTTGCCAAGTACTCGAAGCAGAAGCTTGGGGGGTGTTCCATGGCTTGCGGTTAGCACGAGAAGAAGGTATTGCAAAGCTTTTGGTAGAGAGTGATTCAAAACAGCTTATTGACAAGCTGCGTAAGAGAGATAAAGCAGGTAGTAAAGTCTGCAACATTATTTGGAGGTGCATGCATGAGGCTGAAAGTATACAACAAGTGGAGTATGTTCATGTGCGTCGTGAAGGGAATAAAGTGGCAGACTGTTTGGCGAAGTCGGCTACCAAGGTTTCAAGGAAGCTCCTCCCGAGATAGAAGAGCTTCTTCAACAGGACAAGCTGGGAGCTATTTTCAACAGAAGTCTTTGATTTTTGGGTTTCCCCCTCTTTTTTTCAACAAAAAAAAAAGAGTAGCCAAACACCTTGTACTTAGTTGGCATGTAGTGACCTCTCCCATGTGAGAGATCATGAGATCGAACCTTAGTAGAGGCGTCTATATATATATATATATATATATATATATATATATATATATATATATATATATATATATATAAATTAGCAAGGCCGAGTCGATCGCTCGGCGGGAAATCACCATGCCCCTCTATATTGATTTTTGCAACCGTGGGTTATATATATACGGAAGGGTTCAGGTGCGGGTATAGCTTCCCGTTCAGTTGTGCGGTTAACTCAAAACTGCATACAAATCACGCACCTTAAGAAGGAAAACAACGCACCTTAAGAAGAAAAACCATGCACCTAAAGCATTAAGCCGACACACCTTAAGTAAACAATCCACGCACCTTAAGCACACAAACAAAGCACCTTAATAACACAAACCACACACCTAAAGTTTTAAAATGTCACACCTTAAGTTTAAATAACTAACGCACATTAAGCATACAAATCACAAACCTTAAAAAAGAAAATAACGCACTTTAAGAAAGAAAACCACGCACCTAAAGTTTCAACACTGACGCACCTTAAGCACACAAACCATGCACTTTAAGAAGGAAAATCACGCACTTAAAACTTTAGATCGACGCACTTAAGTCAACAACTGATGCACATTAATCACATAGCACATGGAACCCACGCACCTTAAGCACACAAACAAAGCACCTTAAGAACACAAACCACTCACCTTAAATACACAAATCACGCACCTTAAACACATAACAAATCACCTTAAGAACACAAACCACGCACCTAAGGTTTTAAAATGGCTCACCTTTAAGTTTCACACAACTGACGCACCTTAAGCATACAAATCATGCACCTTAAGAAGGAAAACAACGCACCTTAAGAAGAAAAATCACGCACCTTAAGAAGGAAAACACGCACCTTAAGAAGAAAAACCACGCACCTTAAGCACATAAGCCACGCACTTTAAGCACAGAACTCACCCACCTTAAGCATAAAACTCACGCATCTAAGTGCAAAACCCACGCACCTTAAGTTTCAACAAGTACTTACATTAAGCACACAACCCACACACCTTAAGCACAAAACCCACGCACCTTAAACACAAACCCACACACCTTAAACACAAAACTCACGCACCTTAAGCACAAAACACACGCACCTTAAGCACAGAACCCACGCACCATAAGCATAAAACCCACGCACCTTAAGTACAAAATTCACGCACCTCAAGTTTAAACAACTACTCACATTAAGCACAGAACCCACGCACCTTAAACACATAACCCACGCACCTTAAGCGTAGAACCCACGCGCCTTAAGCACAAAACCCACGCACCTTAAGTACAAAACCCACGCACCTTTAAGTTTCAACAAGTACTTTCATTAAGCACACAACCCACGCATCTTAAGCACAAAACCCACGCACCTTAAGCACAAAACCCACGCATCTTAAATTTGACCCTAGATTCAAAAATTACCAAATTGTCACCGCGTTTTATTTTTTGTTTTTTTTTTTAATTTTGGTAATCTAAGACGTTGATTTAAGAAAGATCAATGACTTAGATTTAACCGCACAATCGCACCTAGACACACCAACGACACCAGAACCTAAATAAATAAATAAATAAATAAATAAATAAATAAATATAAATATATATATATATATATATATATATATATATATATATATATATATATATATATATATATATATATATATATATATATATATATATATATATATATATATATATATATATATATATATATATATATAGTGAAAGGTTCCCGTGCTGTTGAATGCTTCCCGTGCGGTTGTGCGGTTGATTAATGTGCGTGAGTTTTATACTTAATGTGCGTGAGTCTTGTGCTTAATGTGTCTGAGATTTGTACTTAATGTGCGTGAGTGTGTAATGTTAATGTGCGTGAGTTTTGTACTTAAATGTGTGTGAGTGTTGTGCCTAAGGTGCGTGAGGTTTGTGCTTAATGTGAGTTAGTGTGTAGTGTTTAATTGATTCAAAATTATGCGTGCAATAAAATTGATTTATTGTAGCTATTTTTAAGGTACGGTAATGTAGTTTGTAGGTATGCTGTCTGTTCTTGTGATTTGGTATGAGGTTTCTATGATTTTATGGTTTATTAGTTTCAATTATTGCAATGGTGGTCCAATCCTGGGTTGGAAGTATTGTTTTGTTTGGATTGTTTGAACTCAATGCCATGCCTGCGGGAAACGTCGTCAGCTCAGTACATCTTGCAGCAGTATATGGCCGTTTCTGGAGGCCAGAAGCTTCAGAGGATCGCCAATGCATACGCAATAGGTTATAAAGAACATGAACTCTTCGAAAACCTCACGCACATTAACCACACAACTCACGCACCTTAGACACAAGACTCATGCACCTTAACTACAAAACTCACGCATTTTAAACACTACACACTCATGCACATTAAGCACAAACCTCACACACATTAAGCACAATACTCACGCACATTGAGTACAAATCTCACGCACATTAATCAACCACACGGAAGCCACAAATGCATCTGATCCCTTCCCTATATATATATATATATATATATATATATGACTATATGTAATATACTAATATGACATATACACACCTACACACGTGCATTATATATATTTTTTAGTTAGTTGCCTTGGTGCTAGATGCCACTCTATCGTCCGATTAGTGACTAGCGCCTACTGCAACCATATACATAACACAACCATACATATATAGTGAATCGAGTGAAATTCTAGACGAGTTTTGTACATGAAACTTGAGTTCAACCCAACTTATCGAGAGTTTAATTTTTTAAGACTCACCACCTATTATCATCCAAAAAATTGATCCATACAAAATAAATTCTGGTGAAAAACTGAAAATCTGTGAGGCAAATTGATATTGCCATCCCTAACTGCTCTTCTTTGGGCTTCCGGCCGGATCCCGATCGCTTTACTTAGAGTGAAAGAGAACAAGAAGACATGGTTGATGCTTTATTGCTTTCCCACAAATTGAATGCCCCCAGCCACGTCAACCCCCCGTACTTTCCATAATTTCCATTTATCACCCAATACTTTTCACCTCCCCCCTATAAATACGCCCCAACTACTTTTCCCTTCTCCACACCGTGGCCACTCTATCTCCCTTTCCAACATTCATACTATTTGGCAGTCTTCCTTCTTGTTTCTGGGAAATGGGAAATCAAGAAAAACACAGTATTATTATGGCTCCTTTTGGAAAGATAGCAGCAATATTGGGACTTATGATTTTGGGCACCATGATTAGTTCCAACACAGTCTCTGCCGGTGACCCAGATTTGCTTCAAGATGTCTGTGTTGCTGATCTCAACTCAAGTATGTATAACCTTAATTAAACATTTTTGTCTTGTCTTTTAATTATTGTGTTAAAGTTTATTAAGATTGATGAATTGTGTTTGAATCTTCCAAAGAAATTGATTTTAAGTAGGTTGACTTGTATATCTTGGAGTTGACTTTTGTTTGAGATTTGCATTTTGTAAATAATTCCTTGACTATAGCTGTGAAGGTGAATGGATTCGCCTGCAAGAAGAGTTTCACGGCGGAGGATTTCTCGTCAATGGCGATAGCGAAGCCGGGAGCCACCAACAACACAATGGGGGCGGTGGTGACGGGGGCAAATGTCGAAAAAGTCCCTGGACTCAACACCCTAGGCGTCTCCCTCTCCCGCATTGACTACGCCCCCGGCGGGCTGAACCCTCCCCACACGCACCCACGCGCCACCGAGATGATCTTCGTGCTGGAGGGCGAACTGGACGTGGGCTTCATCACCACCGCCAACGTTTTGGTCTCCAAGCATATTACCAAGGGCGAGGTGTTTGTGTTCCCCAGGGGGCTGGTCCATTTCCAGAAAAACAACGGGGATGTTCCGGCCGCCGTGATTGCCGGGTTCAACAGCCAGCTGCCGGGAACACAGTCGATCGCCGCCACCCTGTTCGCGGCGTCGCCGCCTGTCCCGGATAACGTGTTGACTAAGGCGTTCCAAGTTGGGACGAAGGAGGTGGAGAAGATCAAGTCTAGGCTCGCTCCCAAGAAGTAAATTAAACACTTGCGATGAATTGAAGCACTTTAATTTTCATTTTATTTGTGTTTGTTTATTATTATTATTATTATTATTATTATTCTATATTGATGATTTGATGAAGACTCTTGGATGAAGACTTTGTTGTTTCAATCATTGTAAGTCATTTTTCCTTTCAATTTGCTAACAATAATAAAATCACAAGCACCCCAATCGAAATAAAATAAGTTTTTTGAGTTACAATGGAGCATTTGTACATTTTTTTACTTTCTCTGAGTGAGTCACTTAGTGCTACTAGACCATTAGAAAATAATATCTGAAAAAAATTACTCGGTAATTATTATTTTCTAGAGAGAGTTACTTCATGTTACTTAGGCCACTGAAAATTAATATCAAAAAAAGATTAATTAATAACAAAAATTTGTAATTTCTCGAGATATTATCATTCATCTATGGAGTCGCCATTTGTCACTAAACCAGATATGCCACATAATATTTTCATTATGGATTGGTGATGATGATGACTATAATCAACATTTGGCTTTAAATTCTTGAAGCAAAGAGCCAAATAAGGATCATATATAGCTATCAATAGGGTCAATTCAGCTGAAATCTAATCACTTATCTCCAAAGGAATGTCTAGAAAGCAAATATTACCAAACTAAGTTGGTGACTGATATCTTGACACTACACAACAAAGTAAGTATGGGACTTAATATCATCAACTAAACCACTTAAAAAGATCCATGGCAAAATTGGGGGGGGGGGGGGGGGGGTGGGAACTTAACCCACTGCACTTTAATATAATTTGCCACAACTCAATATTGGGTGACAGCATCTGGAAAGTTTTTGTGAATATTTTAAAAGGTGTTGGTGACCTACCCTTGATTTGATTAATCATTATAAAGTTATTCAGACAACTCCTCCTAATCCAACGTAACCAATTTAGATAATGATCAATTAATTTAACATTAGGGAATTATAACGTTAGATTGTCTTTCTTATCTCACAAGACCTGGTTATAATGAATCATAAACTAAGTTTGGTAAACCTGTCTTGTTTTAATCAACAAAGATGGTAGGAGTATTATATATTTCATATTTAGTTTAGATTATCTTTCTTATCGAAAGTGATGACTAATCTTGATCACCCATCAAGATTCATCAATGGTTGAAGATTTTAGTAATAAAAAATAAAAAATATGGAATAAATTTTATAATTATTGTAAATTTTTAATTTTGTAATATTTATAAAAAGAACCACATTATTATTCACTTATTTTTCAAAAACTCTCGACCATTGGTCTACGTATATGGATGGATCAAACTAGTCTTCACTTTTTACATTTTAGCATATTCATTGAACTGACCCCTCGCCTATATATAAGAAGACTCTTGCTAGAACTAGATTGTAGTAGTTGAATGACCAAATATGATTAATTTTAAAGTCGCAAGGTAATTCATTTTAATGTTCAATCTGGCCTGGAATAATATAAGATATATGTTGGGTGTGTTCAGTTGGAGACTTTTGCACCCTCCTATGGGTTTTCATACTCCTTATTATATTGGTTATCTAATTTTGTTATCCTACTATTGAATTCAAATCATTTAGTAATTACAAAATTTATTACCCTTTTGCTCTCTACTTTTAAACAATGGAATCAAAAATAAAAGAGAAAAAAAAAATGTCATTGTCTATGCATTAAAGATTGAATTTTAATATATATACACATATGTGTGTGTATTATTTTTTATTTCAATTCCTATTCACTACCAAACAAAATGACTCATTTTACTTAAATTCATTATCATTACTAAATATTTGATTTTCATTTCCATTATGATTTCAATGTTTGAACCAAATACACCCACGGTTATCTTAATTATAATAAAGCAATATGGTCTTGTGAAAATTAAATGTTGATATTAATGGTTAAATGTTGGTATTAATTGTTGGTGAAAATGAACCAAAATCGATTTAATATCCCTTAAAATAATATTTATATATATACACACGAAATATATATAAAATATTATTGGATACATATATCCGAAATATATATATACACACAAATATATATGAAACGGACCCAACGGTTATATATACATGTATATCTACGAAAAAGATATACCAATATATATCAACCAAAAGGAAAATATAATCCTTAGATTATAATTCCAAAACAACAAGAAAGAACGGATTTTTGCTTAGAGCATAATCCAAAACAAGAAAGAAGAAGAAAGAAAGAAATGTACGAGTTAGGCAAAGTGCCTGTCTTTCCTTAAAACCTTATTTGCCACCTCCCAAAAGTGCTAGGAGCGTTGTGACCTAGGTTTCCCAGGATAAAACGTACAACGGTTCGACGTTTGAGCACCCAAACGAACGAACCCGACGAACTAGAGCACGGGCAAAACACAGCTTCAAGAATGGAGTAGGAGCAGAATTTTGAGAAGAAAAAGTGCTTATCTTTGTGTGTTGTGTCACTCTCGTTCTTCCCTCTCTTGTTGCCTCTCACTATGTGGTTCAAAAGCCTCTACTCCCACTACACTCTTATATAGGAGGTTGGTACTTAATAGCATTATTATGACACATTAACCAACATAAATTCAATTTAAAAATTGAATTATAACGTTTGAAACGGTCGTACTTATTATCGAAATAATATCAACGGTCACGAACTTAATATCCGATTAATTCGTACCGACCATAACGTCCCGTTTCAAATATCTGAGTGACCGAGAAGTCCGTAAAAACCCGAAAGGTTAACGAATTGGGACCGGAAACCACACCCGAGTGGTCTGCAAGCACCGAAACGGTGCAGCACGAATCAATGCAAATAGCATTGACTCGTGCTAGAAGCACCAAACTGGTGCTACACGATAGGACTCACACGAAAGGAGTCCAAAAACCAAAGCATGAATTTGCTCAAAAGCACGAAACTTCACTTTGAATCCCAAATCATTATTTTAAGCTTTCTCAAAGCTTAATCATGTTTTAAGCTTATGCCTTCGTGATACACATCACAGCTAATTCTTTAATTAGCTATCAAGCTTAAAACCTTGCACATTTCGGGTACAAACAAATCACAACAATAGCTAATTTAATTAGCAACTATCTTAAGATTTTGACTTCTCTGAAATAGGTTCACTTTGAGAATCAATTTCTCATTCACCTATTACCCATTTTGAGCGTACATTATATCAAATTCTTCGTCTCACTACGAAGAACCCGAATCCACCTTGACACGACCCAAATCGGAAGTGGATCCCACATATATTTGTACCACAAAATAATCACTCAAAATATCATTTTAATGCTATTTTTTTTCCAACAATCCCCCACATGAATGAAAAATGATTTTCAGGGTATTTTGAAATCGGAAACAACTGTGTTTAACGGTCGATCCCTGCATAGGATAGGTAGGGATCACTATACCCTTTGAACCTTCTCTTGTGAAGACATGTTTACTCTACTGGCTGTACGGTAGAACGCGATGTCTTTGAACCGACTGCCGTTTGTGTAGACGATGACATATCTCACACAGGAACCTCCCAACCATGCTCTGTTCTCATGATTGTGCCCGTTTTGGTCGTGGGTCACCGTCCTGGTTCTGCAAGAGTTTGTGAAGAATTGTGCCCACCAATTCTCCTTTGAAGCGACCCTCACTTCTCTCTCACATAGGTGATTCTTTCCCGAGTATCCCGCATACTCACGTACGTCAACCGACATTCGAATCATTAAAGCATTAACATGCTAACCTTGCGCGGGAGTCACTATTTCTAACGAGGAGTGGTGGGGAGTCCGAGACCCCCACAGTGACACGCTTCGTTCCATAATTTAGTTGTCCCATTGAACCTAGGTGCTAGCTAGGTTGGGTATCCACTATAGAACTTTTAGTCCACGGGCTTTAGACCCATTCCTCGTTCCAACTTCTCCACAACTATTTGCTTACCCTCGGGTTAGCGAGTTAGCGGCCGCTACGTTATCTTTTGACATCACGTAGTCAATAAAGATAACCCCCGTTGTGAGAAATTGTTTAATGGTATCATATCTACGACTTATAAGTCTAGACTTACCATTCCACATTTAACTCTGTACTTAACCAATTTTGGCTTGACTATCGCAGTGCTCACAAATTGGAGGTACGAGTTCACCACTAGGAACATTCTCGAAATAATGGCATAGCCATTCGGCCTACTCGCTCGCGACACGAGTGTAAGGCTCTCAGCTTTGATCCCGTCGGATCTTAGCTATCACAAATTCATTTCGAGAATTTCCGTCCAACTGACTGCACTGGCCTATGTAAAGACGTAGCTTTTGATGGACTTAGCGTCCTTTGATATCCGTGCTATACTTTCCAAGTACGGCTAGATATCCCACGTTGTGCAGTCCAAAGTCACAAGCATACCTAAGTATCTCATAACTTCCACTATTGCCTTCTAGTGCGTAACACTAGGGTTACTCGTATGTCTACCGAGTTCGTTAACCGCGAAGGCAATGTCCGACCTAGTACAACCCATTGGATACAATTAAACTACCGATAATCTAAATGTATTCTCCGTGAGAAATACAATCTCCGTGATTATCGGCTAGTTGTACGTTAGTATCTAACGGTGTCCAAGCCACTTGATTAACGTCCTTTGCAAGGATTTAATCAACACAATGAGATTGGCTTAACACGAGACCATACGGTCTTCTCACAATTTTAATCTCAAAGATTAAATTTGCTAAGCCACACCTCTCATGTCAAATCTCGAATTTAACATGTTCCTGGTAGAATTGATCATTTGATCGTTACTACCCACGTTGAGTTTATCGTGTATAGACAAATAGTGATAACCTCGTCTATCGTACGCATTACGTAGACATTTATCACAATTGTTTATACTAAACTCGTGACACATCATTGTATGATAAAAACTTACATGCCAAGTACTAAGGCAATTGTTTCTTCAAACCAAACAATGATCTCACCAGTTACACACTTTCTTTCCATAGCGCGGAACCACGAAACCCTCGGGTTGTTCCATGTCTATTAAGAAAGCGATACATCTATTTCGATAAACTTCCAAGTCTCGCTAAACAGCTCTTGGGAAGTATCATCCTAATGGATTTCATCCTCATCACAAGAGAATATATATTGAAGTAACTGTGGCACTCGCGTTGCATGTAATTTAAAATTACAAGCTCGGCCATTTTACTTCGATATAACTAACCGATTTTATCTTCCGACTAGTGATCCACTTAGGATCCCGAGGTTTTACAACCTGGAGGAAGAACGACCAGTTCCAAGTATGATTCTCTAAGATAGAATCTACTTCACTCTCAATAGCCTCTCTCGGGTTGGTCCATCTGTAGAAGTCACAACTTCTACATACGATCGAGGCTTGTTTTCTAACAACCTTGTCAGAAAATCCAATTTATTTTCTAGTAAACAAGTTAGAATATGCGCGTCACATTCTAGCATGTACGTCAGAAAATCTGGACCAAAGGATTGTTCAATCTTAGCTCTCTTGCTACGTCTAGCTTTGAGCTCGGGTTCTCTTTCATACCCTTCAACCATAGCTACGCCGAAAGTTCCTTTCAACGTGCTAGGTCCTTTATTGAATCTTCACAAAAATACATTTTCCAAAGAATGATGAATTTCTTGATTCAATTTATTGTGTTCTTACGTACATCCACACTATAGGACTCGTGTACTAAGAACCAGTACACAACTTTGGCAAGACACCCCCACATTTCAGGCATTAGTAGAAAACTTCCTACGTACCCATAATTCATAAGAATTTCATGCGGTAACCTTATTTAAAAGGTACTTACTTGTCCAAAGAAATGTCTCACCCCACATACTATGAGGTAGACCCGAACTTATCAACACCTTGATATTTATGTTCGGTAACAACGTTCGATTGAGGTGAATACCGTACCGTACGCTCGAGTACGACACTAACGCTTGCGCTGAAATCACCAATAGGTGTTTCTTTTTTTTTTTTTTCACCACATCGATTGTTCGTAACCGCATTAATCCACGATTAATTTGGTTTTTCTCTTTTTATTCTTTAAAGAATAAACATGTGTTACATGCCAACACATCTCGTAGGTGCTAACAGATTAGCCCTCACGAATCCATTCGGTTTTGACCGAAAGGCCACAAACCCGAATCAGTGTTTCCGAAATTGAAGCACGAATCAGTGCTTAGTAGTGAAGCACGAAACATGCTATACCAAGCATGAATCATTGCTCCCAAACTAACGCGCCGATTCCAAAGCAATCTCTATTGCTTTTAAATTATAAACTCACAGCAACATTCGGTTGCTTAAATTATAATTACAGTGCTACTTTGTACTAGCTAGGATTATTAGTTAATTACACAATTAACCAAATCTCCTTTCGTGCTAATCACATAACACTTTTACAATGCTAAATTTAATTAGCCACATACGAAAGATTTAAGCTAAGTAGACTAGCATTAAGACCGATCATAATCTAGCACCTTTATTGCTATTACCAAAACACCAATTGCTTAAGTTTTCAACACCTAAAGGTGCAGCCACCAAGTGGCCGAAAGTGCCTAATTAAGCACTCTACCTAGTGCTTGATAGCACTGTTACAGTGTTTTAATTTGCACTTCCAAGTGCCAAATTAAATTGCACTTTCCATTAGTGCTACAAAGCACTATTCACCAAAACACAATTTGTCTCAAATTAGATAACTAGTATAATTTGGAATTTTTTGATCAAGTTAATTATAACACAATTAACGAGAACAAATCAACCAAATTTTCCAACTAGTTGAATCAAACTCATATAATCGTTCTTAGAATATTATTTAAAATATTCAACACTTGAGCTGTGACGCTCTCGATTATATAGTTATTCCAATTTTTGACATATTGATCCTTGAAATCCGTATCGTTCTACATGAACCAGGACCGTAGTCCTTTTACGGGATTTCAAACATGTAACACGCTTGTTACATTTCGTTCCAGCCGTTAAGCCATTTTAGCATTTTCCACATAATGCTACGTGATGCACTACGCACCCGTATTGAATCATTTCATACATTCAACATTATTTCATCAAATAATTCGTATGTACTATGATTCAATAGCCCAATGGAACAATTCATTTTTTATTCAACAATAAAAAAAAATGTATCACAAGGATACTACAACATTTATTTAACAAATAAATAAATAGGAAAAATTACATTGGAAACACATTTCCTTATTCCTATCTCGTAGTAATCCTTCAAACCCGTGTGCCTTGTTCCATTTTCAACCGTCCACTCCACAAAGGGTGGTCCATAGCGCACAGCGGGGGTACCTCGGTTGTGACCTCACTCGTCCAACCATCCACATGTTTTAAACATAGCGAAGTTGTCCTCAACCTTTTCACTAGGATGACGGTTCGCTTTGTAGTGGCATTTCTCCTTCTTCTCGTAATCTTCTTGAAAGCTAAGCTTCCGCTTAAGTTTCCTTTGATTACGGTTGAAGTCATTGGTCACACTACAATAGTCCTCAGACCATGTAGTTATTACACCATCATAGGATCCTTCGTGGCTTTTAGCCGATCCACTAGACAACACAATAGGTACCAATTGTGTGCCATTAGCCACAGGTCTACCGGATCGTGAACCAAAATTCTCCGGAGCACCATCGTGTGTTTTTGCAACTCCCATGGAAATATTATTTCCAACGTTGCTGCCATCAACTGGCATCACGGAATGTGCAACTTCGTTGCCTTTCCGACCATTTGAATGTGCACCTCCGGCAACATTCACAGATCCAACACTTTTGGAATCCATCGACTTGTTCATTATCAAAATTGATAAGGTTTTAAGATTGTTGGTGAAAATGAACCAAAATCGATTTAATATCCCTTAAAATAATATTTATATATATACACACGAAATATATATAAAATATTATTGGATACATATATCCGAAATATATATATATACACACAAATATATATGAAACGGACCCAACGGTTATATATACATGTATATCTACGAAAAAGATATACCAATATATATCAACCAAAAGGAAAATATAATCCTTAGATTATAATTCCAAAACAACAAGAAAGAACGAATTTTTGCTTAGAGCATAATCCAAAACAAGAAAGAAGAAGAAAGAAATGTACGAGTTAGGCAAAGTGCCTGTCTTTCCTTAAAACCTTATTTGCCACCTCCCAAAAGTGCTAGGAGCGTTGTGACCTAGGTTTCCCAGGATAAAACGTACAACGGTTCGACGTTTGAGCACCCAAACGAACGAACCCGACGAACTAGAGCACGGGCAAAACACAGCTTCAAGAATGGAGTAGGAGCAGAATTTTGAGAAGAAAAAGTGCTTATCTTTGTGTGTTGTGTCACTCTCGTTCTTCCCTCTCTTGTTGCCTCTCACTATGTGGTTCAAAAGCCTCTACTCCCACTACACTCTTATATAGGAGGTTGGTACTTAATAGCATTATTATGACACATTAACCAACATAAATTCAATTTAAAAATTGAATTATAACGTTTGAAACGGTCGTACTTATTATCGAAATAATATCAACGGTCACGAACTTAATATCCGATTAATTCGTACCGACCATAACGTCCCGTTTCAAATATCTGAGTGACCGAGAAGTCCGTAAAAACCCGAAAGGTTAACGAATTGGGACCGGAAACCACACCCGAGTGGTCTGCAAGCACCGAAACGGTGCAGCACGAATCAATGCAAATAGCATTGACTCGTGCTAGAAGCACCAAACTGGTGCTACACGATAGGACTCACACGAAAGGAGTCCAAAAACCAAAGCATGAATTTGCTCAAAAGCACGAAACTTCACTTTGAATCCCAAATCATTATTTTAAGCTTTCTCAAAGCTTAATCATGTTTTAAGCTTATGCCTTCGTGATACACATCACAGCTAATTCTTTAATTAGCTATCAAGCTTAAAACCTTGCACATTTCGGGTACAAACAAATCACAACAATAGCTAATTTAATTAGCAACTATCTTAAGATTTTGACTTCTCTGAAATAGGTTCACTTTGAGAATCAATTTCTCATTCACCTATTACCCATTTTGAGCGTACATTATATCAAATTCTTCGTCTCACTACGAAGAACCCGAATCCACCTTGACCCGACCCAAATCGGAAGTGGATCCCACATATATTTGTACCACAAAATAATCACTCAAAATATCATTTTAATGCTATTTTTTTCCAACATTAATTACATGTTGGTATTATAGTTAAGATTTAGCAAACACTTTTTATGTGAGTGAAAAACATATGATATATAACATGAAACAACTGAAGAAAATGTTTAGTGCAATACAATAAAATTTGATACATTACCTATATAATTACATGGAAATAGTGAATTTTGCAACAAAAATAATAATATAGCACTAAAAATGATGCCAAACCAGATATCAAAGGGAAAACTACTCCTGAAAACTATTTATAAAATATCAAAGGAAAAAGAACACAAAAGTGAGGACAACCCAGATAAGGAAAGTAAATGTTAACACTTGAAAATCATTTTTAACTCTAAAAAAACAATTGAAATCCTAACTATAATATAGCCATATAGTTTGGTGAGCAATTATTGTTACAATTATTTTTTTAAATGGTGATGATGATTAATAGTCATTTATATTTATAAATAATTGTTTGGTCTTTAAAGGTCAATTGTATGTTGCTACATCTAGAGTTAGAAATCTCAAAGGTCTAAAAATTTTGATCCGTGGTGACTCTAAAATTGTAATTCAATTACAATTGTAGTTTACTAAGTTCTTAAAAATTTGTAATATTAAATACTATGTACTAAATTTTTAATATAGTTTAAGATTTGTAGTAATCACCCACCTTAAATATTATTTTAATTGTAAATATATTTATGTTCATAATTTTATCATAGGAATTCAACATAATAATTATTAAATAATAAAAATTTTATATATGAATAAACCTCATATAGGGTATATTTTTATAACATATTTTTTGTGCATCGCACGGGAAAAATACTAGTTAATTTAGTAGTAACAATATAATAACATCTCTCCTAACATATTCCTTCCGGACTTTGACATCTCCCTACTGTAAAATTAATATTCAAGCAAAACAGCAACAGAGGATGAGTCTACTAATTGTTTTAATAACATTAATCATTGGGGGAAAAAAATGTATTGAACCTTAATTACATGTTTAGAGCTTGACATTAAGCACTGCTGATTGACTAGTCATTTGTTGGTTTTCAGATGATACTTTGTAGTTTATATACATGAGTATGGTGGTGGTCCGGGTCTTTCTCAATCCGTTTAATCTCTGTTCGCTTCGAGTGTGAACTATGAGGTGGTCCGGATTTTAACGGACAGGTCCGTCCGATTAATCTATGTTCGCTTCGGGAGGCACAGAAGCTATTCTGAAATTCCCCCTTATAAAAAGAGCTCATTTGCCACTTGAGCTACCCTGTTGGGGGACAGGTCCGTCCGATTAATCTATGTTCGCTTCGGGAGGCACAGAAGCTATCCTGAAATTCTCTCTCATAAAGAGAGCTCATTTGCCACTTGAGTTACCCTGTTGGGGGACAGGTCCGTCCGATTAATCTATGTTCGCTTCGGGAGGCACAGAAGCTATCCCGAAATTCTCCCTCATAAAGAGAGCTCATTTGCCACTTGAGCTACCCTGTTGGGTTATTATAGATTTTTTCTTAAATTATTATTGGATTCAAATATTTTTGAATGTTACTGACTCTACCTACGGAAGCACAAAGAGCCAATAACGCCTCCATTGAGGCTCGAACTCACAACTTCCCATATGGGAATCCAACCCTGGTGCTATTAGATCACAATGTCTTGGCTTGGATTCAAATATTTTAATAATTATAAAATATATTACCCTTCTCATCCCTACTTTAGAATAATCGAATATAAAATGAGGAAGAAAAAATAACAAGATCATTGTCCATGCATTAAATATCATGCTTGAAAAAATCGCTAGGCGCTCCTCGAGCGTTTAGGCAGCGATTAATCGGCGCCTAGGCACCCGTATATTTTTAATTTTATTTTTTATTTTTTAAAAAATTATTTAAAATTTTGTAAATTTTTAAGATTGGATAATTATAAACTATTTAATACTTTAATAGTTAATACTAAAATATTAAATATTAACATAAAAAAACATATAGAGTTTGAACAATTTAAGGTTATTTCACTAAAAAATAATGCCATTTTGAGTAAAATAACCCATTTAAAAAAGAAGGGAAAAATAGTTAAATTGCCAATTAGAAGACCGCGTCAGTGCCTAAGATGCCTAAACTAGTCGGCGCCTAGGAGGCCTAGACGTTCAGTGCCTAGGCGGCCTAGGCAGCCACCTAGTTGGCCAGTCGCTTAGACCACCGATTATGGTGATACGCTTGGCAGTCGGCCAGTGTCTAGCACCTAAACGCTAATTAATCAGTGTCTAGTCGGGATTTTTGTAACATTGTTAAATACAAAACTTTAATATTAAAGAATAAATTTTAAAAAATTTGTTAAGAGTCATAATGAGTGCCACGTAAGAGGGGTTTTTGATGAGAGTCAGAATTGATATGTCTATATTTGGGGTTCCACCTCCGTTGGGATTAGGGGTGGGAATAGGCCAGGCCCCTTGTAGGGGCCTATGTCCTGGCCTAATTAAAGCCCAGTTAGGCCTAGCTCGTTTAGTAAAAAGGTCAGGCTTGAGCCAATTTCAAAGCCTATTAAACTAAACAGGCCAGACCTATATATACCAGGGAGGCCTGTCATATATATATATATATATATATATATATATATATATATATATATATATATATATATATATATATATATATATATTCTATTTTATGCCTAATATTTGTATATTTACAATATAACCCCAAGTATATATTATTTAGATATACTAAAGTTTTGTATACTTATGTAATTATGTATTAGTTTTGTATTAGGCACATTTCTTATATTATTTAGATATACTAAAATTTTTAAAAAGTCTTAAAATGTATGCTTTAATAGGCTAAGGTAGGACATACTTTGAAGCATTTTTAATGACTTAAATATTAAACAGGCTTTTTAAAAGGCTTTAGGCCAGGCTAGGCTAATTGCAGGCTCAGGCTTGAGCCTAACAAAAAGCCTACATACAGGCTCAGGCCCAGGCCCAGGCTTTAGATTTTCGTAACAGGCCCAGGCCTAATTTTCCAAAGCTCGGCTCGGCTCGGCCTATTTCTACCCCTAGTTGGGATGTAAAAACAAAAATGAAACTTTAATATTAAAGATTAAATATTAAAAAGATTGTTACATTTTTATTTTAGGATATTGAAACCAAATCTCTTCGCTATCTGACACGATAATAAATCTTTTTTTTTTTGTTTTGAAAATGAACAATAAATCACTTTTTAATTTGATCCCCTGGAGATGCACGAGGGAAGTATTCCAACTTTCTTAGCCGATCTTAGGATTTTGCTCACCTCAGAGGCATGGCATTCATCATATCCAAAGCTTCACAATAACAGTTCTCTTCAGCGCAGAGGATTTCGAGAGCAAGCAGCATGTAAGTGTAAAAATATTACACGTTAGATCCTCATATAATTGGCTCAAATTAGTTGTCAAAATTAGTTAAGAGGTTAGTGTCTGGATCAGCGCCAGGAGGTGAGACAAAGAAAGGGAAAACTCGGTCAACGTGCATTTAGTCAAGACCCTACTTACAAGGAGTTTTTAAATTAAGTGAAGCAGTTTAAAATGAGGAAATATAAGATGCACAATTTTGGATAAAGGAGGCTCTTCAATACCTCTATAAAATGCTACTTTGTTTAGCATTTCATTCGAAGATTTTTAACAAGAATTCTTTCATCTAAATCTTATATATCTCACGGCTGATTAGATACTTACTGGTGAAGAAGATCTCACAACGGGTTCACGATGCAACGAAGATAGCCTGCACGTCAAGTCCACGTAGTTGCTTGAGTAGGTTCTGGAGTAGATGAAGTTTATGCTTTATAGTGTAATGTTCTCTCCTATTTTACTTTTATTGTTCATCTAGTGGATTTGGGTTGACGTGAGTGGCCCATTAGACGTAGGAGTGAGGCTTCGAACTGCGTGAACATATCCTGGTGCACGGTTCCTTTCTATTGCTTTTATAGTTCATTTCGTTGTTCTGTCTGGCGTAGATCTTGGAGCTAGTCCAGCCTAATAATTGAATTAAAAATTAGTACGAACCTTTAGGGTATTTCTTGCATTCAAGGTCTACGAGCTTTTTCAATTGGTATCAGAGCGGGGGACTTAAGTTACTAGTCTAACCAATCTGGCTTTCTCGTGTTTCTTGAACTCAAGAACTCGGTATTTGTTATTTATTCTGTTTGTCTGGTTTTTCTTCTGTAGCTCACTGTGTATTGAGTCTTGCAGCATGGAAGGACATAGAGCACCTCCTGAACTAACAGGTGACAACTATGCATACTGGAAGGCCCGCACCAAAATGCATCTGCGAGCTCAAGGGGAGAGGGTCTGGAGGGCTGTTATTACAGGGTGGACTCATCCTACCAAAGATGGAGACACTTCAGAAGATCCTCCAGTTCTTAAACCAGAATCAGAATGGTCAGAAACTGAGATGATCACCGCCGGCTACAATCACAAAGCCTTAGACACTATCTTTTCGCTAATGCATGAGAGTCAGTTTACTATTGTTGCAGGGTGTGACTTTGCTAAAAAAGCATGGGATGCCTTGGAAACTACCTATGAGGGAACTACATCGGTCAAACAATCTAAACTGCAAATGG